CGGAATCACAGACGGCTATGAACCACTGTGTGGGTGTTGGGAATCAAACCCAGGTCCTCTGCAAGAGCACCCAGTGCCCTTAAGCGCTGAGTTAAGTTGTCTCTCTAGCTCCTAAAAATAAATTTGAAAAAGTTAGTAAAATAAACGACACAGTAACTTGACATATCCCCGTGCCTTGTCTTGTGCTGTGCCGTTTTACTAGGATTGAGTCTTTGGAATTCAAGTCAGGATACAGGCAGCTCAAGTTCTTCCTTAATCTTTAGACTCCCCAGCAGCGTTGCTATTTTATGAATACTTTCTTCACTCAGGCTTCTTTTCTCCTTCAGCTCCACCTCCTAATAGTGATTCTGATAAGCCTGAACGGGAAGTCCAGGACACCCACAACAGTATTTGGAAGGCCACTTAGTTCCAAGAAGTAGTGCTAATTAGAGCGCACCCTCGTGGTAAACAGTGGTATTGCAGTTGTTCTGTTCTAGCCCCGCCCCCGGGGACAAAGGCCTTCCAGGTCACCTGGGACCGTGGTCCAGAACAGATCTGACTTGAAGCAGAGGTGGTGGCGTCCGGATCCGAGTTTGAGGGTCTTGGAGGCAGAGAGGGTGAGAGGTGGAGGTACTGAGGACTTGGAAAGGGTTGGACGGAAGAGGAGCGCGAATATGGGCATGCGCACAAGCGTGGGATTCTTGGAGCCAGCGTTAGTGCCTAGAAACTACCGCTATAGTCAGGAAGGGCTCGGATTCCAAGGTGGACGCTCCTAACTTGCAGTCTGCGTTGTCTGCTGACTCCAAGCCAAGTGCATGGCTAGTGCACACCGCGTTCTGAGTGTGCACACTCCCGAAACGTCTAGCATGGAGTCCTTCTTCTCTGAGTGCACATGTTATGGGAGGGAGGGTCCTAGGCCCCACCGGTGGCCAGGATTATGGAGAGGTGGCACTAGAAGGACATGATCATCCCCACCTCTTTGCAGATGGCCTCGTCGAGTCCTGACGCCCCTTGTTCCTGCGACTGCTTTGTCTCTGTGCCCCCTGCCTCAGCCATCCCCGCTGTGATCTTTGCAAAGAATTCGGACCGCCCCCGAGATGAGGTGCAGGAGGTGGTGTTTATTCCGGCAGGCACTCATGCCCCTGGGAGCCGGCTCCAGGTGGGTTAGGATTTAAAAGGAACTGGAAGGTTTAGACATTGTTCCAAGACCTTTGTTTTCTTGCACCTGGGATGCTGGCAGATGCTGTGAAAAATCTAGTTAGCCTCAGTTAACTAAGTTTACTCATGTGTGACCTGAGAACAAGACCTTAAGGCCATTATATAAAGTGGCCAGAGATCCGGATGTAGGTGGTGCACCCCTTTAATCCTAGCAGTAGAGGCAGTGGATCTCTGTGAGTTCCAGACCAGCCTGGTACACAAGAGCTTGCCTAGGACAGCCTCCAAAACCACCGAGAAACCCTGTGTTGAAAAACAAAAATAAATAAATAATAATAAAATAAAAGTGAAGTGGCCAGGGCAATGCAGGTCCTTGATCTTTTTTTCAGTGAATCTTTCTTTTCTTGGCATCCAGTGCACCTACATCGAGGTGGAACAGGTGTTGAAGACTCATGCTGTGATTCTGAGCCGCCCTTCTTGGCTGTGGGGGGCTGAGATGGGAGCCAATGAACATGGTCTCTGCATTGGCAACGAAGCAGTGTGGACCAAGGAGCCTGTTGGGGAGGGGGAAGCCCTGCTGGGTATGGATCTACTCAGGTACAGACCAGCTCTTCCTGCCCCACCCTCTCACCTTAACACTGGGGTTCACTGGGCTTGTCTTGTGGCCTCTCTAAGAAGGCTGAATTACACCTTCTATGTCCTCCTCTTCCTCCTCCTTCTCCTCCTTTATTCTTCCTCTTCTTTGATTTTTCAAGACAGGGTTTCTCTGTGTAACCTTGGCTGTCCTATAGACCAAGCTGGCCTTGAACTCAGAGATCCTCCTGCCTCTGCCTCCCGAGTGCTGGAATTAAATGCATGTGCCACCAAGCCTGATGAAGAGCCTCCTTTGGCCCAAAGTGGTTTAATTTTTCTCAGTGGTTTAATTTTGTCAACTGAAATCTCCCAGAGGTTTATAGAAACTGATAAAGGTGGAGCAGCTCTGACTGGAGAGGAGTTCGGATACTTCTTTCTTGGAAACAGTGTTCTAGATCTTTCCATGGAAGTCTCAGTTCAAAGCTTGGAAACTATTGAAACAGCTTCTCATTGTGTATCCCTGATTGGCCTAGAATTCACTATGTAGACCAGGCTGTCCTTGAACTCAGATTCACCTGCTTCTGCCTCTCAAATGCTGGGTGGTAAAGGTGTTTACTGCTACATCTGGCTAAATTTTCATTTTGCTTGTACATTTTTGTCTGTTTGTTTTGAGATAATGAGTTATGTCAAAAGTTTGCGGCTGAGTCTGGAGTTGAACTTTTGACCCTCCTGCCTCCACTTCTTTGTTGGGATCACAGGCCTGTGCTGCATACCATCATTGCTGTTGGGTTTTTCATCAGACCTCTCTGGATCCACTTGTGTCCTCTGACTCTCTGCCAGGCTGGCTCTGGAGCGGAGCAGTACTGCCCAGGAGGCTGTGCATGTGATCGCAGGCTTGCTGGACCGCTATGGGCAGGGGGGCAGCTGCCGGGAGGAACCTGTGCCGTTCTGCTATCACAACACCTTCCTGCTGGCTGACCGGACAGAGGCGTGGGTGCTGGAGACAGCTGGGAGGCTGTGGGCTGCTCAGCGGATCCAGGGTAGGAGTCTAGCATAGAGCCTGCCTCCGAGAGGGAACCTAGACCTCTCCAGGTACTGCTCTCCACTTCTGGAGGCTACCACACTTGTTCTCCCTGACAGCCTTGGGCAGTGGGACACCCTGGGAAATGAGCTGCTTAGGAATTGTTTTCTCCTTCCCCTGGCCAGCCTGCGCTTTCATCTGGAAAGCCTTCCTGGACCCCCCTGCATTATTGGGAGGTCACATGCAAGCAACTACCTCTTTGCCATCATGTCCATCCCTGTGATTTGTCTCTGATTGATTTGTCTGTCTCCTCATCACTGTAGGACCCTTAAGGGCAGGTGTGTTTGTTAAAACCATAATCTAAGCACCTCAGGGCCTGGCATATAGTGGGTGCTCCGTGATGAATAAGTCCCTCTTCTTCCACAGGGGGTGCCCGCAACATCTCTAACCAGCTGAGCATTGGCACCGACATCTCAGCAGAGCACCCAGAGCTCCGAAGCTACGCCAAGGCTCAGGGCTGGTGGACTGGACACGGTACCTTTGACTTTGCAGAGGTCTTCTCCCTGACCCAGCAGCCTGTACGAATGGAAGCTGCCAAGGCCCGCTTCCGGGCTGGGCGTGAGCTGCTGCAGCAACGACAAGGTCTGTGAGCGGTGGGCAAGAGGGTCATGGAGTCGGTCTCACACTCATTTGCTGCGCCCCCCGCCACTTCCCACTTCCTCCTTTGCAGGTAGTATCACAGCAGAGGTGATGATGGACATCCTTAGAAACAAGGAGAGCGGCATCTGCATGGACTCCGGAGGCTTCCGCACCACCGCCAGCATGGTGTCGGTCCTGCCCCAGGATCTCACAAAGCCCTGTGTTCATTTCCTCACTGCCACACCAGACCCATCCAGGTGAGGGTGGAGAGGACATACTGGTCAGGGGACATGACGGGACATGGCCCCTGCTACCACTTCAGTCCTTCAACCTGTGTCTCATTAGGTCTGTGTTCAAACCTTTCATCTTTGAAGTGGGGGTGAGCCAGGCCCCCCAGGTGCTGTCCCCCACTTTTGGAGCCCAGGACCCTGTTCGGATCCTCCCCCGATTCCAGACTCAGGTGGATCGTCGGCATTTACTCTACCGTGGACACCAGGCAGCGCTGGGGCTGATGGAGGATGGGCAGGTAACCTTCGGAGACTATGCTGAGGGAAGGTGGGAAATACCTTCACCTTCCTGATGTCTGGAACCATAAAGGGCCTGGGCCTAGAAGAGACTGCAGAGCTGGGGGCAGGTGGGGCCTCCAGCTAGTCTTGGGTTTCTCCGGCCTGGAGGAGAGGGTCCACGATCCGTTCCTCACCTCTGCCTTTCCTGGCAGGATCAGGGGAAACAGCTCCGGCAAATGCAGCAGAGGCTGGAACAGGAAGGCCTGGAGGCTCTCAGAGGACTACTTACTGGTGGACAGACACCACCTCCCCAGCGGCTGGGCAGCCTCTTCCAGGCCTTTGTGGAGAAGGAGCACCAGGCTTATGCTTAAGCGTGCAGCAGCTCTTGGCCCACTGGTGTGGTGGTGGTCACAACCATGCCTTCTCTCAGCTCATCCAGGTTCTGAGTGGCTGGCACAGCCCCTGGCTTAATAAATAGCTTTTATTTCCTTATTCACTGAACTAACTGTACCTCTGGTCTATTGGGGAGAGCTGAGCCAGGGCAGAGGGCAGCTCCTAGCAGCCAGACCTGTGGTGCCAAGCCATAAACCCTAATTATGGGTGCCATGGGACCTTACTCGTGTGTGTTTGCCTGAAGACCCAAGATCATGAGAGCTGGCTGCTATTTGAGGACAATCGGGATCCCAAGGTTTTAGTCCTTAGCTTGGACTGTGTGGTGGCTTGTCTTTAATCCAATTACTCAGGAGGCAGAGGCAAGTAGATTTCTTTGAGTTCTGGCTAGTCTGGTCTACACAGTAAGTTCCAGGCCAGCCAGGATTACACAGTGAAGCACTAACTGTCTAAGAAATCTAAACAGTAACACAACGCTATCTCACCAAGAGATAGCATCTTTTGTGAGGCAGTACCCACTTCTTGCCCACTTGGGGCCAGCAAACCAGCTGGGGACACAGGGAGATGCCCGCCCTTCGGGTCATTCCTGAAAGGTTAAACTGTTTTGGTGATTATGTTTTTGGCTTTTGGGTTCGGTTCCTTTCCTTGACTTATCCCATGCAACATAAAAAGCATTCCAAGCCCAAAGATACTTTATTGGGGGGGTGGGGCTCCTGCCACAAGGGAAATGCCTGAGGAGGGCAAGCACGCACTCGGGCTGCAGGCTACTTTGTGCTTCTTTTGGTTGCAGGTTTTGTCATGCTGGGGGCTGCAGACAGAGAGGTCTTGGAGGCTGTGGCTGCCGGAGCCCCCTTCCTTGCCCGGACAGAGCCTTTTTGGCTTGTGGGAACTGATTTCTTAGTAGAAGCGGTGGTCTGGGTTGAGGAGGTGGCCTTAGGGGCTGGCTCCTTCTCAGACTCTGCTGTGACAGCAGGGCTGCAGTCCCCAGCCATGGGCACTGCAGGCAGGAGGGGCAGGTCAGTGAGGACAGGCTGTGTCTCCATCCTTGACAAGTGCTCTGCCAGGACTGCCTGCTGCCTTCGTTCTTGATGTTGCTGTAGTTCCTGCTCTAAGTCCTTGAAGAATCCTAGAGGAGGAGAGGTAGAGCAGGAGGGTCTTGGGCTCAGGGATGTCTCCGACAAACCTACTGGCATTCCTAGCAGACTAAGTATTGGGCTGGGGCTGGGAAGAACTGCAGCCCACATCCTCTGATTAGATCCTGCTGATTCCAGCCAGAGATGGGTCACTGACACTCACTAACAGGTGGCCCTGAGGCTGATGGAAAAAGTGAGCATGTAACCCCAAGGACTAAGACATGCTGGGAAGATGTCACCTTCCACCGTCCTGACTGGCACTCTGGAAACATGAAAGGGCCTGGAGTAGAGGAAAGCACAGAGCTGGAGAGACGATCACAGCAGGGCTAGCTGCCTAGCACAGTGTCATCTCCTAAGGCAATGTGAGCCTGGGGAGGCTACAAGCCGTGGAAAATAATCACCTTGCTCTGCACAGAACGGGCCATTCAGTTCCGGAAATTCCTCCTCATCTGAGGATTTATCCTCCTCATCTGAGGTCCAGCGCTCCAATATAGGCTGCTTGTCCAGGTCCAAGAGCAGAGGCAGGGCTCCTATCACCATCTTCCTGTAAGGCAGAAGAAGCAGAGATTACCCATGAGGGCATCCTTGATGTGGAGCCTGGGAGGGCATAGTGACATGTGCTTCAGTGTCCACACCTAGGTGTGTATGACCCTGAGACTAGGAGGTGGGCCTGGGGTCAGTCCCAACAGCAAAAGGCTGGCTCCTGGGAGGTGCTAGATATGGGACTGGAAAGGGACAGGCTCAGTCTAGGGGTCAGAGGGCAAGATGGATACATGAGGATTGCAGGCTGATAGTGGCTTCCTGGAGCAGTGGGTGGGGCTCACCTGGCGCGGCTCTACCCCCACTTTCAGTCCCCCTCACCTGTAGCCATTCTGGTTGGTGCAGGGGTTTCCACACAGGTTGAGGATGAGAAGGCTCTGAGGGAGCTCATCTGTGCAGTAGAAAGAATGAGTGAGGGTCTCATGCCTGCTCTGCCCTCCTCCAGAGGGAGGGAGGGAGGGAAGCAAAATCACAAGACGCTTGGAGCCAAGAGGAGGGAGGACACCACATGGGACTCATTCCATGAGCCAGGGCAGGGTCCTACCTAGCTTTAGCATTTCTATCAGGTTCTCAGAAAGGTCCAGAAACTGGAGGTACTGGAGGTCAAGGAGGTTTTCCACCTGCTTGATTTGGTTTCCTGCCAGAGACAGGAAGCTGCAGAGGAAGAGGGAGGGGCAGAGACAAGGCTGAGCTACAGGAGGGAGGAGGGAGGAAGGAGGAGGGTTATCGGGTACCCAGGCTCCCCTGTGTAGGTAGCTGACTGACAAGTGGGGACACAAAGCCTTGTGGGATGAGGAGGGCAGAGCTAGACTTCTCATCTGATAGAGAGCCAGGCTAGGAGAGCCCCAAGACCGTTCCAGGGGTGGAGCCAGTTTCTCCCCACCCACTCCGTATTCCTTTGCTGCCTTGGTGCCACTTACCGCAGGGAGGTGATGCATGACAAGTTCTCAATCCTCTGGATCTTATTCTGCAGAAGAAACCAAGGTGGGGGAACCCAGTTTAAAGTTGGCTGGGTGGGGACTCTTTTGAAGGGGGCAAAGCCCTAATTTTACCATGACTACTCTTAGCTGCAGCCATTACACTTTGAGAATGAGTGGTCACTCAACCTGACCGAGGCTGGATGCCACTACCTTGGGGAAGATGATTTGTTTTCTCCCGCCAGTGGTTACTGTGTGAACTGGGAGTTAGTCCAACGAGAAGAGCCAAAGGACCAGAGAGAGACTCAAGAGAAGGAGATCGGGGGCCAATAGGGAAATGGAAAAGGCCTCATTGGTGGCCTGTAAACCCACAGGGAACAATGACTGTGTATAGCTGATTCACGAGGTTTGTATAGAAGTTTAAGGGCACTGGGCAGTGGTGGCACACACCTTTAATTCCAGCACTGGGATACTTTTGCTTCAGCCTCCTGGGTGCTCTAGAGACTGCCACATGCCACTATCCCCAACTGGAATGCTGACTCAAGAGCATGTTCAGGAGCTCTTGGTGGGATTGGGGTAGGAAATCAGTCTTTTTGTTTGTTTGGTTTGTTTTTTCAAGACAGGGTTTCTCTGTGTAGCCTGGCTGTCATGATACTTGTTTTGTACACCAGTCAGGCCTCGGACTCATAGAGATCCGATTGCCTCAACCTTCCAAGTGCTGGGATTAAAGGTGTGCGGCACCACCGCTGGGCCAGAAATCAATCTTTCAATTCAAGAGGATTCCTGATTCATTGGGGAATGTTTCGCTTACCTAAACACCAGAAATGCAAAAAGATGAGCTGTTCGTTGGTTTTCAGGTTAGACAGACTAGGTTCACAGCAGGGAGAGGACAGGAGGCATTGGGGGGGGGGGGTAGTGCAAGGTCTTACCGACTGCAGGTAGAGGCTGTGAATATTCCGGAGGCCCTCTAAATTCCTGATAGAAGTAATCCCTTCCCGATCCAGGCGGACGGTCTCCAGTTCATCAAGGGTACGAACCCTGGAGGGTGAGCAAAATGGTGCACTAGGGTTCACACCTGTGGCCTCTTAGTGGATGATGGGAGGGGAGAAGAGAAGACATGTCCCTGGAAAGGGAGAGGGCTGAATGGTTTTGATGAGATGTCACAAACAGCTCCTTGACCCAGGGAGTGGTGTCTAGGTCCTGAGACTGGCTAGTCTCAGGCACGTGGTTCTCCGAGGAGTTGCGTGAAAAGCTGCCAAGGGGCCCTCTGGATAACTGGTGGGTGGCTGCTCATAGCTCCTGGAGATTCGGAACAAAAGAGGCCTTCCTTGATCAGTTTGGATGGTGGAGGCAGGGTGGGGATAGATGCAGCAATACTCTCTTCTGGAAGGAGCTTTCTCATTCCCTTGTGAGTCACAGATGGAGGGGAAATCGGTTGTTCCATCCATATGTGTCTGGTTTCCAAATTTACTGAGTATCCTCCAGACAAAGGACATGGGTCCTTGACCATGATCAGGGACGCCAGCCAAGAGGATGCCAGAGGTTGGTACCAGAAATGAAAGTGGGTGCATGGGCTATGTACAACTCCAGAGTGGAGGAATCAGCAGCAACTTCCCAGAGGAGGTGACTAATGTGTAGGCAAGTGGGAGAGGGATGGGGACAAGACATTGGAGCAGAACAAATAGTACATGCATGTGCTAATCCAGCCTGTCTTGAACTTGAATGTACCTGTGGATCCTTTGTGTACTGGAAGATGAAGATCCTAATTCAGTATGTTTGAGATGAGTACCTTTTTTTTCTCTCTCTCTTAAAGCCAGGGCTTCTTGTAGCTCAAGGTGGCCTCAGACTCACTCTGTAGCTCAGGAGGTCATAAACTTCTCATTATCCTGCCTCTACCTCTTGGGATTACACCAAGGCCAGTTTTATGTGGTGCTTAGCACTCTGCCAAGTGAGCGAATCCCCAGTGAACTGTCTTTGTTTCTAACAAGCTCTCAGGTGACATCAAGCTGCACTCACTTTTGAGTAACAAGGGGCAAGAACTTGGTGTGAGAAATTGCATATTTTTAGGTGTGGCTGGAAATGTTTCGGTTCATGCTGTTTGGGTTTTATTCTTGATGTAACAGGTTGCTGAGGAAGTTTCTACCAGGAAGTAATTAGATTTATAATCTATAAAGATCAATTGGGCAACCACAGTGTGGGGAAGGGCAGACCAAGAACTCAACAGAGAATTTCTGAGTTTGCTAGAGCATTCTCTAAGGCAGCTGAAGATGATGTAAAAGGGAACCTTTTTGTTTGTTTGTGTGTTTTGTTTTTCGAGACAGGGTTTCTCTGTATTGCTTTGGAGCCTGTCCTGGAAGTCGCTCTGTAGACCAGGCTGGCCTCGAAAAAAGAACCATCTTTAAGAAGGAAAAATCATACAGAGAAATCCTGTCTCGAAAAACAAAACAAACAAAAAAAAAACCCAAGACAAAAACAAAAACAACAAAACAAAAGAAAGAAAGAAAGGAAGAAAGGAAGGAAGGAAGGAAGAAAGAAAGGAAAACTCAACTGGGAAGTACTATTGATTGGAGTGTAACTACTGAGACAAACGAGTTACAAAATCATATAGCTCACAAACTGAACATCTGTGATACCTGTGCTACAGTTTTCTACCTTTCCCTTGCCTTTTCCTCCACTCACATCTTTTCTGACAGGTCTTCATCCTCAGGGAAGGTCAAGTTCCTCTTGGTGATAAGGGCTTCAGTAATGGGGACTTCCCCTTCCTCGGTACTCTGGGCAGCATTCTTAGCTGTGAAAAGACGGGTCCCTTTGTCACTTCTCTTTATTCCTGGAGACCTGACCTTCCTGTCGTCCACTTGTTCTAGCCATCAACTCACCTTTCTGCTCATCTCCTGGCATGACCTAAAACAAATAGCGGCTGCTTGAGGCAGGAGATGGACGAAGAGGAACAAAGAGGCTTAGCCGGCCGGTTGGGGTGAGGGAACCCAGGTTGGAGGGAGACTTAGGAGACTAGGACAGTGTTGATTCAGAGCCAATTGTTCGGGGTGTGGTGGAAGACAGGTGCAAATGGGAGCGAAGGATCTGGAGTCAGAAGTGTGTGGTGTGGCTTTACTGGTCGCAAACTGAAAGGACCGGAAGATTGAGAAGAACGGTTCCTTGAAGGCTCGCGTCGTTGCTAGGAGACTGGACGCCAGGTCCGACGGAACCGTAGGAGTGGGGGCGGGCACCACACTACGTGTGGGATAGACGCTCCTTCCGGTGGCTCTCCGGCTATTTCCTGCCCTGGGTTTCCTTGCTGCCCCCACAATCCTTAGCTCCTTCCGTCCGCTCGCAGCGCTCGTGGGAACTTCCTGTAGCGATGGCTGCGGCGGTGGCGGGGATGCTTCGAGGGGGTCTCCCGCCCCGGGCGGGTAAGGAGCGGCCGAGGGCCCCACCGCGCACAGGCCGGCGCTCTCTAGCCCTCGCCTCCCTTTCCCCTGACCTTTCCCGTAATCTGACCGCTCTCGGTGACCCTGCCACTAGCCGGATCTCTGATTTGACTGGTCCAGTTCCCTGTGACATCCCGTTTTACCCCCATACACACTCTGGTAATGACAGCAACGGTGTCGCCACCAAGGCCTGTTTCAGCTTTGGACTTTTCTAATCCTTCTCTTAGTTCTTGCCCCCGACCCCGGAGAGCCCTTGCTGGGATTTTAAGATGTCTTAAGGCCAACCTAAACGTAGCGTCCTCAGGTCTTCTCTCACAGCCCTCTCTTTATAAAGCAGCTTCCTCAGTGAAATCTTTTGCTTGTATCCTGTTTATTGACACCCCTGCTTGGTCAGTTCACAGTCTAGTTTTGCGTTTTCCCATGCGCCTGTCTCGTCTGTTAAACTCCGTGGAGGGCAGCACCGTGTCTATTCATCTTAGGTACTAAGCGCTATGGCGCCTGACGTTAGTAGATTTGACACCGTGGGTATTGCTTCACACTTACTGTCTCATTTGAGTCTTACAGCAAAAGCACCTTGGGAGGAAGGCATTATCCACCCCTCTTTACAGACAAGCACATTGAAATCTGGACAGGGCAAGAATAACAGTAACAGCCTGCAGAGCAGGGCTTAAAATCTAGTTCCATCCCATTCCAAAGATACTCTTAACAGGTCTTGGGCTATTAACCATAAAATCTCTCACCCTGATAACCCTCCATACTCTCTAAGAGTCTTCTAGCTGACCCTTTTCTTGCTGTACCTGGAAACTACAGGGCTAAGATGCAAGAGTCGCTTTGGCTCAGAGCTTTGGAGTGTTTCCTCGGTTTCTGAGAGGGACTTTCAAGTTTTTCTTGTCATCAAGAATGAACCATTGGGCACACAAAGGTCAAAGGACAATTTGCATGAACCTTTTCTCTACCGGAGAGTGGGCTGGGGTGGGGGGGGTTGAGTCCAAGTCATTAGCCTTAGTGGTAAGTGCATTTACTGTACTGGATGAATCATCTCCCAGGCCCTTAATTTTGCTTTTTGAGTCAGGATCTCATGTTGCCGACGTTGGCCTTGAACTCCTGATCCTTCTGCTTCTGCTTCCTCGGAGCTTGGATTACAAGTGTTCATCACATATGTGACCTGAAGAAAGACTTGAGAGAGTTGTGAGGGTGGTGTACTGTGTTTTTCCTCCCTCACTTCAAATCATAGGAGCAGGCCTTTAGAGCCAGGCAATATCACCAGAAGGACTTATTTAAACACAGCTTGCTGGACTCTGCCCCAGAGACTCTGCTTTTTGAAGGCGTCAGAATATGTATTTCTAACAAGCTCCCAGATGAAGCTGATGTTGGTGGCTTGATCCAGGTGTTTCCTGTTCTTCAAGAACTGCTGCTAAGACCAAGAACGAGCCTGTCAGAGTGTTGTTTCCTTTTTTCATTTGCTCCTTTTGCTTGCTTGCTGGGGATGGAACCTAGGGCTTGGCGCTTCTTAGACCAGTTCTGTACCTTTTAGCTGCAGTCCCAGCCCCTGATGATAGGTTTATGATTAAAATCTTACTGGAGTATAGTCTCATCTGTTTACATATTATTGGTGGCCGCACTGGTTTTTGTTTGTTTGATTGGTTGGTTTTTTGTACATCTTGTTTATCTTGGGACTGGGTCTCACTGTATCCTCAGCTGACTTGGAATTCAAAGAGATCTATCCACCTGCTTCTGCCTCCTGAGTGCTGGGATCAAAGGAGTGTGCCACTACTGCCCAGTAAAATAAATAAATTTTATATATGTGTATATATATGCATATATATAATTCTTTAAAATTCTAGCACTGCACATAAGGACTTGTAGAGGGATGGGTCTGTGGTCCACTTGGTAGAGTGCTTGCCTAGCATGTACGGAAGCCCTGCATTTAATCCCCAACACAATTAAACCAGACATAGAAGCAAACACCTTTAATCCTAAACTCATCAGGTAGGTGGAGTGGGCAGATCAGGTCATCTTCAGTTACATGGTGAGTTCAAGGCAGGCTGGGCTATGAGACTCTGTCTAAAAACAACAAAAAACCAGCAATAGTAACAAACCTAGAAAAAGAGTCTTAAGGGATTGATGCACTCCTAAGGTCACCCACTAAAAGCAGAAGAGACTTTTTGTGCTGTGTCTAGTTTTTCGAGCCATGTCTTTGTGGGGTAGGGATGTTCTTTTTGTCCACTGGAGATAAGCTAGGTCCTCTAAGACGCTGTATCTTACTATGTTACCATCTCCCCTTCCAGCTTGGCTGCCCACCCTCCAGACTGTGCGCCATGGCTCCAAGGCTGTGACCCGCCACCGTCGTGTCATGCACTTTGAGCGGCAGAAGCTAATGGCTTTAACTGTGTATATTCCTCCCAAACCTGCCATCAACCCTAGATGCCTCCCACCCCCTCCCAAACCCCCCAAGGAGGTAAGGAGACTTGGTGTATGTTACTTGGTGGTAGGCTGGTAAAGCTCGACTCTTAAGCCATGAGGGTTCCTCACGTCATTAGTTCACTTTCTCAGGTTGAACCCTGTGCGTTTGTTTATTAGTATGTGTGTATATTATTACATTGTGTGTTTATTAATATGTGTGTGTATTTATTATGTGTATGTGAATGTGGGTACACACTTGCCACTGCTCATGTGTGGAGATCAGAGGGCAACTTTGAGGAATCAGCTGTCTCTCCACCATGTAATCTCTTGTTTCTGCCATGCTACATAGTCCATACTGCCCGTGAGCTTCTGGTGAGACAGGTTGTCCTGTCTCTGCCTCCTCATCTCACTGAGTGCAGATGTAAGCAACATTAGGCCTTTTTATGTGAGTTCTGGGGATTGAATTTAGATTGTCCAGCTTGCATAGCAGCTGGCTCTTACTCTCTGAGCCATCTCATCTACCCCAGATTCTTTATAATAAAATATGTACTTGCTTCAGTATTGACAATGGGCTCCGAATTCCTGGGCTGTCTGCATTGTCTTTATTTTTATCTGTGTCCAAAAACATATGTGAAAGTCTGCAAGCAGGTATGGGGAATTTCATGTCTTTCTTTCTTTCTTTCTTCCTTTCTTCCTTCCTTTCTTTCTTTCTTTCTTTCTTTCTTTCTTTCTTTCTTTCTGAGATGGAAAGTCTTAAGACCAAGCTTTTCTGGAACTCCTGAATTCAAGTGATCTAGATGCTGAGATTGCAGGGGTTAAGGTGCCACACCCTGCTCTTTACTGTTTTAAAAGGAGCTGAAGCTTCCATGTTCCTCCAAGGGATGATGGAAGTGTTTAGTCTTTTGAAAAGAACAGGAAGAAGCTGGGTGTGGTGTCCCAAGCCTATAATCTTCCCATTTAGGAGGTAGAAGCTGGAGGATCAGTTGTTGAGGGCAGGCCTTGGCCGTATATGGAGTTCAAGGCCAGTTCACACTATATGACAAGCTGTGTTGAAAGGACTGGACAGACTGGCACATACCTGTAATCCCAGCACTCAGAAGGCTGAAGCAAGAAGATTGTTTATGAGTTCAAGGTTAGCGCCTGCCGTTGTTAGCACACACCTTTAATCCCAGCACTCGGGAGGCAGAGGCAGGTGAATCTCTGGTCTACAGAGCTAGTTCCAGGACAGGTTCCAAAGCCACAGAGAAATCCTGTCTCAAACAAACAAACAGACTAGCATGGTCTGTACAGTGAGTTCTAGAACTATAATGAGACCCTGTCTTTAAAGAAAGGCGAGGAGGGCGGGGAGGGGCTGGAGAAATGGCTCAGCTGTTCCTTGTTCACACAGAGGTGGGGTCCTCAGCACCCATATAGTAACTCACAACTGTGTGTAATGCAAGTGCCTCGGGATCCAGTGCCCTGTCCTGGCCTCCTAGAGCACTGCATGTATGGGGTACAGACACACATGTAGGCAAAATACTAGTAGACATAAATTAAAGAAAAAGGAAGGCTTGGGGTGGCAAGGTAAAGACACCTGCTACCCAGCCTAGGTTCTAGGGGCTGAACTCATTTCATCTAGCTTGGTGTCTGGTGCCTTTACTCACTGAGCCATCTACTAGCCTCCCATCATATATTTTAAATTGGTAAAATAAGCTGGGCAGCGATGGCATACATGTTTGATCTTAGCACTTGGGAAGCAGAGGCAGGTAGATCTCTGAGTTCAAGGCTAGCATGGTCTACAGAGTGAGTGTCAAGCCATCCAGGGCTACACAGAAAAGCCTTGTCTAGAAAAACAACAAAAATAATAAAATTGGTAAAATAATTCATGATAATTGAAAGTAATTGTGTGTGTGTGTGTGTGGTACTGGGAATTGAACCTAGTTTATTGCACATTCTTGACAAATGTTTTGCTACCAAGCTCTATCCCAAGCCTTTATTTTATCCTTTGTTTTGAGACCGTCTCATTAAGTTTCAAAATTTAGCCTTACACGCACTCCACGTTTTAAGCCTAAATTTTTGGTTCTCCTGCCTCAGCCTCCTGAGTAGCTGGAAGTAGTTTTACAGGGTTGTATCACTACAGCCTGTAATCGAAGTAATCCCTGCCAAGGCCTCAGGAGAAGGGCAGGTGCCCTCAGGTTTGCAGACTGCTCTGAAGCCCGCAGGTTTCCGGTGGGAGCAGAAAGCTCAGGCGGGAGGTGTCCACGTTGTCGGAGTCGGGCCCAGCTGCCCAACTCTTTCTCCTGCCTGTTACACTTCTGGCATCTGTGCCTATGTGGGGAAGGGAGGGGACCAGGAAACCTTCCTATCTCCTCAGCCATCCTGTCCTGCCACAGGAGTCCGGCCTTATCCATCTCCTGCATCGGGATATAGTAGCAGTTTTTCGTGACAACCGAATGATAGCTGTCTGCCAGAACGTGGCCATGAGTGCAGAGGACAAACTTCTCCTGCGCCACAGGTTGCGGAAACACAACATCTTGATAAAAGTCTTCCCCAACCAGGTAGGGTCCTCCTGGCTCAGGCCTGCTTCCTCCCACGCCGGCTGAGTGGACCTGGGCTCTGCCCCTCCCACAGGCAGGCTACTTCTGGCTTCTGTGGTAGTCAGCCTAGACAGGCCGCCCTAGTTTGGTGCCTATTTGTAGGGATTGAGGACACACTGAGGTGGTACTTTCAGCTTGGTCGAACCTGTGCCTAAGGTGTATGGCTTTTTCCTCCTCTTGTCCCTCATGAGCCACTCTTTCCTGTAATCCCAGGTCCTGAAGCCTTTTCTAGAAGATTCGAAATACCAAAACCTGCTCCCCCTTTTTATTGGGCACAATATGCTGCTGGTCAGTGCAGAGCCCAAGGTCAAGGAAATGGTGCGGATCTTAAAGAGTGTTCCTTTCCTGCCGCTTCTGGGTGAGTGGGCAGCCCTGCAGTTAGGGCCGGGTGCAGCAGGTGGGTGGCACAGAACCTCTGGTGGATGAGGCCTGAGTCATCGTGTTCTGGGGACTGACTATCACTCAGCACCTGTGCTGTGTCACATCAGTTCTATACTGGAGGTAAGAGCACAGGGGCGTCTCCCAGTGCAAAGAGGAGAGAGGACGTTATGATAAAACACCGGGGGGGGGGGGTAGGTTTGTCGGTGACCGAGGTGGGGGACAAACGTGCCAGTCTAACAGAGCTTAGTAAGGAAAGGGGAAAGGGGTGGAGGGAGACAGGACAGAAGAGAAGAAGGACAGGAAAAGTCCCATTTGTCCCAGGGGAACAGCGGGAAGAGAGCATAAGTGGGCGGGGGTCTTTCTTTTAAAGGGGTCCTTTGCACCTGCATGTAGAGTAGTAGTCGTCATGGAACCCTGGGCTGACTGCATTCTGCCAGGTAATGGGCAGGCATCGGTATCTCTTGGACCAGCAGTATGGCTCACAGGTTAAGGTCCTGCTGAGTTCACTTGCCGTGACCCCCAAAGTAGGAGGAGAGAACTGAGTACTGGCAGTCGTTTGTGGTGTGTGCCTGTCCCCCAGTAAATAAACCATTAAAAATAAGAAAACAAATATCCCAAATAAAGAGGGGTGAGAGCCAGTGCCTTGACCAGTCTGTTTTGGGGTTCGTTCTGTAGAGGAGGCTGCCTGTGTCCCCAGAAAAATTCAGATTTCCCAAGAATCTATTTATAGTCACACACACCCTTTACACTCCAGGATTTCCTTTCCCTAGGACTTCATTGCAAAGTGCACAGAGCATGCCACATGCTGTCCTCGGTTTGTAAGTCTGTAGTTGAGTGGTGTTAGACACATGCGTGGTGTTGTGCAGGTGGCACCTCTGTCCAGCTCCATTACTGTGCCTGGGCCATTGAAATGGCAGCTTCATTTCTTCACTCCAAGAGCCTGTCTTCAAAGATGTTTTGGAGTCACTGACTTTAGGGTTTTTGAGACTAGGTGTGTGTTTTATTGGGAAAAGAGAGGAGAGGGGACTGATGCCCAGCATGGGAATGGGATGAGGTACAAGTGTGACTCTGATTTTAGGGCCAGCTGGGAGGGGAGAAGGGCCCTAGAGCCCAGGTTCATGGGTTGGGATGATGCCTCTCAAGAAGAAGGGCATTTGCAGGGAGCCCAGCTGACCCTACGTTCTTCCAGGTGGCTGTGTGGATGACACCATCCTCAGCAGGCAGGGGTTCGTAGAGTATGCCAAGCTGCCCAGCCTGAGCCTGCTGCAAGGGGAACTCGTGGGAGGACTTACTGGCCTCATGGCCCAGACCCGCTACCTGCTTCAGCGCCAGCCGGCCCAGCTGACTTCCCTGTTGGATCAGTATATCAAACAGCAACAGGAGGGAGAGGAGGCAGAGGAGGCAGAGCCTGCCACGTCAGTCAGTAGGAAGCCGTCCCCTGACCCGACTCCAGATTCCTAGCCCACTTGTTTTACCCAGTTCTGCCCATAAATACACTCTGTCCCTGCTGTCTGTGTTGTTGTCTAGCAGAGGTCTGAAAGAATTGGGCATGTGACTTGGCTCTCATTCACAATGACCTCCTTGGGGACACAGAGAAACTCCATTTCAAATGGAGGCTTCCCATTGTCTTCAGTCCACTGTCTTGTCCTGTCACAGCGAGGGGCCTAGCAGGAACAGTCCCCTTCAGTTTTCCAGGTCCACAGCAGAAAGCTTGGAGATTGTCTTGTGGGGCCTTGTCATCCACTGCTCCTGCTCTGTGTCTTCCCAGCCTACTCTCTCGGTTCCTCCGCATGCCACGATGGACCTTGTGAATGGCACTAAGTCGTGTGCCGAGTGCCATACTAAACACAGATGCCAGCTCCTTTACCTCTTACCGCTTAGGAAAGGGCAGAGTTGGAAGTCCTGGTTAGGGCCTTGAGCTTGATTCTCAGAAGTCTCAAGTTTCCATAGTAGAGCTTCTTCATAAAGTTACCCAGGAGTGGGTTCTGGTTGGGCTCTGAGGTTCCTGTTCCACCCTGGGATGGCTGGGTTGTAGAAGGAGTAGGAAAGTTATTTGTTAGAAAAATAAAACACATTTTATGGACTCTTGTTTTGTCATGTTTTTTTTAAAGATGTAAAGCTGTGCCTACGTTTATATCTATGTATCTATCACATATGTGCCTCGTACCCACAGAGGTCAGAAGAGGGCATCGGATCTGGAATAGAGTTGCTTGTGGGGTGAGCCACCATGTGGGTGGGGAAGGGAGCCTGAGTTCTCCCAAAGAGCAACTAGTGCTTACAGCCCTGGCGTGCCCCAGCCCTGGACTCTCTCAAATCCTCTCTTAAGTTCTCACTTTCCTTCCTAAAGCATCCTCTTCCCTCGCCACCTGCCCTTACAGACATGTCTTACATGCTTTTCCTGTGGCTGGAGCACAAGTAATCTGGGGGAACTAGAATTCTCTTTTAATATGGGTCCTTCTGGTGTTGGAGAACAGCACCTCTAACAAGGAAGGAAGATGCTTAGCCTGTGGTCTGCACTGTCCTTGATTTTAACATATCCTAGGTGGATTGGCATTGAATGAGGAGTGCTCCTCTGCATTCCTTCTCAGATGCGGAGCAATGCCTCAGCGTCTTTACTCCTGGACAGACACTGGATTGACAGTCCGCAGCAGCTATCTTCTGGCCTGGGCCAGGACCAACTTCTTACTTTGTCCAGCTCTGCGGATGCCCAGGGATGCTCAATCTTGTAAAAGGCCCCTGAGGCTCTAGATGTCAGCAGCTCTGCCCAGTGCCACTGGGTGGCTCTGCTTCCAGAGGCTGCCTGGTGCTGCCCAAAGCACCCTCCCTCCTGGAAGGCTACCTGCATGCTGAGGCTCTGAAGGGGACTCAGACAGAGGGTTATCCTGGAGGGTCTCACAGGGTGGAGCGGACAAGTGGCCCACAGCACTTCTGAGGCCATGGAAGAGCCTTTATAGCCACACCCTCCTGCTGGGGCCATTTCTCAGGCACCAAACCTGTCAGGCAGTGCATACCCTTTTGGATGAATTGCAGGTATTTCCTGAAAGCCGCCAATTCTTAATTACTTCAGCAACTGAACATAGTGTTCCAGCAGTGAGTAAAGGTGTCTGAGGGTCAAGGGGGGACCTCCAAGTTGGCTTTCCTTTATAGCAGCCAGCTGGTGACTACCCCATAGCTCTCCCTCCTCAGAGACTGACTGCACCAGCATTTCCTGATCCCCACAGCCAACCTGGCAGGGCATTGCTCTCAGTGAATAGCCTCTGTGTGGCTTCAGCTGTCCCTCTTCCCTTGAGGGCCCTGCTGACTATGCTTCTGGCACAGTCTGTCATGTCCCAGAGTATGCAGGGGTAGTGTGAGGTGGGAGGGTGTCTCTGTCTCTCCCCAGTCAACCTGATATCTTTGCTAGTCCAAAATGTGCCATCTATTTCACGTGTAAAAGGAGAGGCAGGGTGAGTTAGGAAATGGCCTTGAGTGCTCGCCCTGGTCAAGGCCATGCTAGCCTGAATAAATCCTTTACCTCCCTCCAATGGCTTGAAGCCAGCAGTTTCCCAGTCCTCTGATCACGTGGAACTATGCCCAGTGGGGACTGTGCCCCTCATTTCCAAGTCATTTGGTACCACTCCGTCCTTAGTCCTCCCGGGAGCAGGGGGGCAGAGCTGAGCGGCAGCCCGGAGCTTGGCGGGAGGAGGCCACGGGGGAGGGGCAGGTGGGGAGATCCGGCTGGAGGGGAGGCTCCGACGTCGCCTTCCTTCCTGGTTCCTGCAGCAGCTGCTGCCACTGCTCAGCTCTGTGAAGAGGTAGCCGGTGACCGGGAACGGTGACTCAGAGGCAGATCAGTGTACGGACCAAGAGGCGCTGGCGTCCATGGACCCTGGGGTAAGGGGGCCTTGCTGGCACCACCTGACATTCCTGAGAGGGCTTCCTCTCCTCTGGAGCTGGTGGATCTGCTCCTCCAGTAAAGAGGCTGAGGATGGAGGTGGTTAGGGGGACACTCACCTGCCTCATCTTGACTTCTCCTTTCTACTGGTAGACACCTCCCACCTCTGCCGGCGGTGGCAGTGAATGGCCCGGATCCTATGGGCCAGGGCAAGGGCATAGAAATAACCAAACACCGGAAGAGTTTGGAAACTTTGAATGGCTGAATGCAGGAGTTTCCCCTTGGGTCAGCCTCTTGCAGCTTGGGTCCTTCTGCTGTGACCTCCTGGCCACACTTAGACTGCCACTTCCCTGTCCCTTCCGGGCCTCAACTCCTCAGGTGCTTGCTAGCTGCATAAGCTCAGAGCTGCTTCCCCAGACACAGGGCAACATCACCCCTCCAGTCCCCTCCCCCTTCTCTCTCTCTCTCTCTCATACACACACACACACACACACACACACACACACACACACACACACACACACACACAGCCTCATGCATTATTAATCTCATAGCGGAGCCAGGATGGCCAGACCAGTGCCAAGGGCGCCTGTGGGCACTGCTGCGGGACCTGGGTGGACCTGGACATTCCCGGCCACCTCTTCTCCCATCCACGATGTCTCTGCCAGCCAGTGTCCTGCTCCTTCTGGGTGGGAGGTGCTTCTCAGGGATAATGTGGTAGAAAGGGGCAGGGAAAAACAATCCAAGGTGGGTGTCCTCCTCGGGGAATGTTTGATGGGAGGAGGTATGCGAAAATAGGGCTGCCTCAGACCTCAGTTTCCCCGTGTAGAAAATGGGAGCAGGAGAACTGGCAGCTAAGAGGCCAACTAGTAGAAATTTGAAGGATGGTCTTCAGGGCAATTGTGGCAACGCAGTGGCCAAGCTGTGGATGTAGGCAAAGATTCCAGAGGGAAAGACTGCTGGGCTGAGGAGTTCCTTCCTGGCCAACCATGAGTCCTAACATCTCTTCTTGGAGCCTCTCCTTTCTTCCCTCCCCAGCATTTCCTGGTTACCTGGGGTGTGGAGCCACACGCTGGGCACCAGCTTAGCCCTCCCGGGCCACAGTGGGAGTTGAGTTGGGTGCTGCTGCCTAGGCTGATGGCCGTGTCAGGGCATACTGGCGGTGTGGGGATGGCGTGTGAGTGGAGGATGTGTATCTTAGTGCAGAGGGGACCAACCGTGGGGAACAGGACACAGGGTGGTACTCACAGGCCTCTCTTTTCTTCAAGGGATCCCCCAGGACAAAGTGACATTCTTCCCTCCTCATCCGGGAGTACCCTCTCCTTCCTCATGGACTTCCAAGAAAAGGACACTCCTTCCCTGGCTGAGAGTACTCAGTCATCTAAGCCCAGCAGCGCCCAGCAGGTCTGAGTAGGGGAGGAGGTGGGGTGGCCTGGGTGCCTGGGGATGGGTTGAGGTAGTGGGCTCACCACCCACGGCCCTCCATCTACCCTGGACCTCAGGCCTCTGAGCTGTGGGAGGTGGTGGAGGAGCCTCGGGGCAGACTGGGAGCAGAGGACATCATGCCTGAGAGACAGGAAGGACACCTGCTCAAGAAGAGGAAGTGGCCTCTTAAGGGCTGGCACAAGGTAGGGTGCAGGGCAGGGGAGGAGCTACGTGGGGGAGACTGCTGGACCGCTCTGGCATTTGTGTGTGGAGGAGAAAAATGTGTGTTTGTTCTCTCCCTGCCCCATGCTCTTGGCTGCCTGGTCCCGCCCCTCCCATGCAGAGGTACTTCGTGCTCGAGGATGGGATCCTCCACTATGCCACAACGAGACAGGATGTAAGTCGTGTTCCAGGTTTGGGGGTGGGGGCAGCCTGTCCCGAGTAAGCCAGAGCAGGGTCTGAAACTCACTCAGTTCCACTTTTCAGCAAATGCTGTCAAGTTACTGTTGGCTTTCCGTATCCTTAGGCTCAACATCTGTAGATTCAACACTTTATTTATTTATTTTTAGTTTTTTTTTTTTTTTTTGAGACTGGGTTGCTCTGTGTAACAGTCCTTGCTGTCCTGGAACTCACTTTGTAGACCAGGCTGGCCTTGAACTCACTGAGATCTGCCTGCCTCTGCCTCACAAGTGCTGGGATTAAAGGTATGCGTCGCCATTGCTGCTGCTACCACCACCTAGCACATTCAACAATTTAAATACACACACACACACACACACACACACACTTACTTTTGAAAGTGTATCTGTACTGAACAAATATAGGTTTTCTTCTCACCATGATTCCCTAAAGACTAAAATCACCATTTCCACAGCATTCACATGACATTAGGTATCAGATCTAGAAATAGCTAAAGCACAGAGATGGTATATAGGTTATATGTAGGAACTGTACCTTTTTACTGCTAGAGATGAGCGTGTGTGCATTTTGGTTTCCTTTGTGGTTCCTAGAACCCAAAATACCATGAGACAGCTGCTTCCCTGGGCCTCAACCTCCTTCCTGCTGACACAGGGTGGGAGACACACTCTGCCACTTGTGCAATTATCTGCATGATGCCCGTTGTGCACTAGGTGCCCGAGCTTTGTCACCCTTGTCATCGTCCTGAGGTTGGACTCTCAGGTTCCTTCCAAAGGGGAGCTCTTTCTTCCACCATGTAGATTTCCAGGGTATTTTCTCCTTGCTTGATGACTTCTCAGAGTGACATGAAATTGAACATAGTGTAGTGTTCTGTGCATATGAGGTGATGAGCAAGCCCCTTTATAGATGACTTGAGGTGCTTGCTCCTTGAGTGTGGAGTGGCCTCAAGGAGATGGTGACTCTGCTTCTGGGAGCCTCAAACCAGTCCCCTGTCTCCTACCAACCCCCTACTCCAGATCACCAAGGGGAAGCTCCACGGCTCCATTGATGTCCGGCTGTCAGTCATGTCCATCAACAAAAAGGCCCAGCGCATTGACCTTGACACAGAAGACAACATCTACCACCTAAAGGTGACATCCCTGGAACTAGCTTGGCAGAGGTATCAGGCACAAACATAGGAGCAGAGGGTCTTCTCTGAGTTTGACAAGAAGGAAGTTTCCATTGTGTGAAATAGCCAGAAGTGGACCATGTGATGGCTGGCTATTATATGAACAGATACAGAGCTGGGAGCTCTGATGCTCCGAGTATCATACTCTGTCTGTTGTCTGCAATAGTGTTTTGTACAAACTGGGTACGCTAGGGAAATT